GAGAGAGAGAGAGAGAGAGAGAGAGAGAGAGAGAGACAGAAGTGCAAGTGCCTCTCTCTCTCTCTCTCTCTCTCTCTCTTTCATGGGACTTGCCGGAGGGCCCTGGGAGGGCCGCATTTATATAGAGCAGGGAGGGCTGCTCGAGGGCCGGATTAAACCGGGCCGCGGGCCGCAAATGGCCCGCGGGCCGGACTTTGGACATGTCTGCTGTAACCTCTTCACCTTGAAAGCCCCACGATAAGTGACAATAGTTTGGGCCTCAGCTGCTGCATCATCAACAGGCAGCTGTTGATACGCTTGAGCCAGGTCAAGCTTAGCAAAAATCTTGCCCTCTTTGAGAGAAGCCAAAATGTGGCTCACTACAGGCACAGGATAAGCATGTTGCTGTAGAGCCTTGCTCAGCGTGCACTTGTAATCTGCACAAATACGAATGTCCCCATTTGCCTTTAAAGGCGTTACAATGGGAGTTTCCCACGGGCTAGAATCTACAGGCTCTAATATGCCTTGCTGGAGCAACTTGTCCAGTTCAGCATCAATTTTACCCTTAAGAGCAAATGGTACTCTCCTAGGTTTAACCCTAATGGGCTGTACAGCTGAATCTAGCTTTAGTGAAACTGGAGGTCCTTTGTAGGATCCTAACTCAGAACTGAACACATCTGCAAACTCCTTGCAGACATCTGCAAGGGTCTCTGTTTGCAACTTGTGCAGCCCTGTTACTTGGATTCCCAAGGCCTCAAACCAATCGAGTCCAATGAGACTCGTGCGCTCACCCCCCACAACCAGCACGTCTAGGGGGCCTGCAAAATTCTTATACTGTACCTTAAGGGTGGCCTCCCCCTTAACGCACACTTGAGAATTTTGAAAATCCGTAAGGATTACATTAGAAGGCCTTAGCGAAACTCGCTGGCCACTGCTGCTGCAGATTTTGTGAAATGTGTTGAGGGAAATTATGGATAGGGCAGACCCCGTGTCAAGTTCCATCAACAATGGAACTCCCTGCAATTTCACTTTAAGGGATAATTTCTTTTTAAGGGGTTTGTGTGTGCCTATTCTTAGAATATTCCTACGTGTTGCACAGAACCCCACCCTGTTTTGACTGGGCACCCTGGTACCTTTCAGACTCAATTCTTCCTTCGGTTGTGCCTTCTGTCGACCAAGGCAAACCGCAGCGATGTGGCCTTTCTTTCCGCACGCTCGGCAAATGGCAGAACGGAACCGACATTCCGCTCGCTTGTGGCGACCACCGCATCCGAAGCAATGGAGCTCAGCTGGGCCCTTGTCCTGACGATCTTTGGACCTCCTCCCAGCTGCTTGGTAAAGCTTGTCCACCTCTTCTTCAGGATCTTCTTCCGAATCCTCTCGCACGTCCTCCTTATGGATGGTGGCGGTCTCTGGAGCGCTTCGACNCTTCCTTAGCAAACAGCTTCTGCTGTAAGTCTCTGTTCCTCAGTCCGCACACAAAACGGTCACGCAGCCTTTCCTCTAAGTCCTTGAAATCACACGGTTTAGCTGCTCTTCGCAATGCTGCAATGAATTCTTTTGCAGATTCCCCAGCTCGCTGATCCCTCAGTTCAAATGTGTGCCTCCAAGCAATGACAGATTGCTTAGGCTGGAAGTGTTCTTTCAAAACTTTCTTCAAATCGGAGTATGAAACAGTTTCTAGCGAGGCCGGGGTGATTAGATTCTCGGCGATCTCAAAGGCGTCTTGCCCACAAACGCACAACATTGTGGCAGCCTTTAGACCTTCTTCCCTTATCTGATTTACGCGGAAGTAAGTCTCTACTCTTGCAACGTAAGATTCCCACTTCTCTGGGTGAGAGACATCAAATTCAGCTAACCGCCCAATTTTCGCCATGATCAGGAACAGGGTTTTTTTCAGCCACACTCACCCTCCAGCGATGCTGTACTGGCAGGATAGACGCTGACTTCAACGCCGTTGTTCCTCTTCCGGACTTCTTTGGGTGAGTCTTCAAGCTTTTCCTAGCTATTTAGACTGAATCCCACCTTCGTCGCCAGTGTTAATGGCGCTTGAAGCAATGCATTTCTAACATGTCTTTATTCTCTGACTACAGTCAACGAACAACCCGAGCAGAGGCACGCAGGCCTCTATTTATACCCTCTGATCCCCGGGCAATTTCAACCAATCACAGGCAGTCTTTTCCCGCTTTGCGCATGTGCACAAGGCCGGCGCCGCTCAGTCTGGTCCCGGGCAGCTTTTGCAAATGCCCGGGACTCTTGCATCGTCCCGAGCCTGCTTTTGCAGGCTCAGGACACAACACCATCTATTCCATGCGGCCGGCCTGGCGTAGTTTTAATTATGTTTTTAGTAAAGGTTTTTATATGGGGTATTTTAGAGCAGGCCTCTTATTTAATATTTATTGTGATTTTTATTATCGCCTGTTCACCGCCCTGAGTCCCGTAAGGGAGATAGGGCGGTATATAAATTTAAATAATAAATAAATAAATCCCTATGGTACAGGTATCTTTATATGTATACAATAAGTTTGTATCTTCACTAAAATGGGGAAGGTTTGTTTACTTAAAGGTTGTTTGAATTTGGATCAGTCTGAGAACTAGCTCTTACGCCCTTCCTCGTCTTAACATTGCAAATGTGGTCTCTATGTTTACAAAGTCCTTGGACAGCAAAGGTGATTAACAAGCAGGTACTGGAGTGCGTAACACCAAACATGTCACTAGAAAGCAAAATCACAAAATGGTCTCATTTACTTCACTGGAGCAAGCAATTATGTTTGGAAGAGTTTAGTGGTAGGCCATCAAAGAACATGGTGGCTGGGACTTTCGGTGGAGAAATGGCCAGCTAGCTGACACGCCCTGAGAGTCTCCTCTCTCTGGACTGTTCCAACTCAGCAACGAAGGAACAGGCTTCCTCTTGTTTATTTGACCCTCCTGGATTAGGGAGTGTCTTCAAATCATCCCTCAAGACCCTCTGATAACAGCAGCAGTCTGCGAGCCATTTTAAAAGTTGAGCTTTGGGACAGCGGGTGAGCTGAAGCTGGAGGGCGGGGCAGAAACCGCGTTGGAATTGGATAAAACAGCCGTTTTGGAATTTATTTTTCAAAAAGGACAATAAGCTGTGCCCTTCATTTCTTAATCAATTTATGAGCTTATTATCTTTATGAGCTAAAAGAGGCTCTCTTTAACTACATTTTAATACTCCTTTTTGAAACTATTCACATTTTTGAGACTTCTTTGTTGTTAAATAACAAGGGAAGAGGGTTGCTGAAGGCAGCCAAAGGAAGGAAGTGTGGAGTACTTTTTCTGGTGAAATATAAGGATAAAAGCTGTGACTTTTAATTTACATTTAAAATAATTCGTAGTTTTGTAGTGGGTGCTGTTGGTGGTTGAAATCTTCCGATTTTTATGAGCTCTGATTGGCCAGAAAAAGGAGAGAAAAAAGAAAGAAATAACATTTTCTGACCACTAGAGGGAGCTGAGGTCAAACATGAAGAAGTCTAATTCTGATTTGGAATCTGTTATTAAAGCGATAAAAGACATTTTTCAAAAGTCTATACAGAAAATCAAATATACAATAAACTCTCTAGGGTTTAAAGGAGATTTAAAAAGATTATCAACCCACTGTAGGAAACTATCAACTCACTGTGTTAACTCTACAAATACCGGATAATTCAAATAACCTAACTGTACCTTTGGAATATAAATCTGACACCAGTTTCTATTATGATGATGGTTTGAATAAAAGCCTCCTAGTGCAACTGAAACAAAAGTGTCAAGCGAATTTACAACTCTTAAGAAGAATACTGGCACGAAGTTGATGTTAAAATATATATTGTGTATATATGTGTATTATGTTTTGTTTTGTTTTGTTTGTCGGTTTAAATAATAAAAAATAATAAAAAATTTAAAAAAAAAAAAAAAAAAAGAAGGCAGGTTTGGGACTTTTTCCTTATAGACATCAACAAGGTGGAGAATTTTTTGAGAAAGAAAGATATGATTGATATCTTAGAGATGGAAACTTCACAGGCCGAGAACTCCTTGAAGAAAAATGACACCCTTGAGAGGAATAAAAACTCATTCTATGAAGACAAGCTGGAGGGAGTGACTTAAATTTAATGATCTAATTAGGATGGATTTTTATAAGTTTTGACATATGTATTGAAAAAAAGTATTAAGGTAGCTTTATATGTATACAATCCATTTGTAAATGTATGCCCTCTGGTGTTTTTTTTTTTTGCTGATGTTTTGTTTAGTTTTGTTTGTTTGTATGTTTGTTCCTTTTGTAAAACTGAGAAAGCCCTAATGTAGTTTTGTGCTTTGGGTATTGGGTTTAAAATGAAGAAGGGTTTTCTTTTGGTTGTTATTGTTTAGTTTTGTTCTGTTTTCACTTGTATATATAATATTTGAATATTGCTTAATGTTAGCAAAACTAACACTAGGGAAAGTGTTTTCTCCCTTTAAGGTTAAAAAAAATTGAATCCTTATTGAGGATTCTTTTAATATGAATCAGGATAAAGATTAATGAGTCAATAGAGGTATATATATTATCTCCCATAGCAATGTGAAGTAGAGATGCTTAAACTGATCCTTTTATCCAAAGATGAGAATATATTTACGTTAGCTACTATCTTGAAATTGCTTCCAGATTTTGTGCTTACAATGATAAAGAAAATGAAAACTTGATTTTGTTTTTGTTAATCAGATAGGTGTATTGTTATAGAAATGGTTTGTACATATTGTTGTGTAAAAGCAAAAAGTTGTGACTAATGTTATCTTCTACTGTGTTAAAGAGAGTCGGAAGTTGGTGCCTTTTTCTTTTTTAATTTGTTTGTATTTTATATTTTGATAAATCAATAAAATTATTTAAAAAAATAAAACAAAACAAAGAACATGGTGGCTGGACACTATCAAAGCTGACACCAGCCAGAGCATAGAAAAACTTAAAGAAATAGTGCAAGATTGGAAGATGTGGAGAGACCTGGCCCATAGAATTGTCAAGTCAGGCTTGACTTAACGGATAAAATCATCATCATCATCATCATCATCATCATCATCATCATCATCATCATCATCATCATGTTTACAAAGATACTTAAGTGTGTATGTACGTATATATTATATTGTCATTTCCTTAAGTATTGCAACCTGTAATTTAACAAATAAAACAGATGTATTAATGGCAAAAGTCATGAAGCACGTCTAGAGAACACAAGTTCAACAAAGTGACAATTGATCACTTCTTAAGAATTCTGCCCATGTGTTTTGAAAGTAAATATTAAACCTGGAGTACCTGATTGTGCATTTCAAATTAAATATATGCTTGGAAATAGATATACCTGGGTAACTGTTGAGTGGCAATAAAGGCTCAGTAAGGTAGCCCACACAAACCATCACAGCATCAAAAATGGTTGAGTTCTGCTTCCCATTGGCCTCCGTAACAACTTCCCACTGGCCAGTGTTAGAGAAATGAGGACACTTCTTTATACTGATCACTTTTGTCTGAAACATTTCCAGAAAATAATCAGTTGTGATAATCCAAAAAAAACCTGAACTTGTAAATACAGGTAGTCCTTGACTTACAGCCTCAATTGAGCCCAAAATTTATGTTGCTAAGTGAGACATTTGTTAAGTGAGTTTTGCCCCATTTTACAACTTTTCCTGTCACTGTTGTTAAGTGAATCATTGCAATTGTTAAGTTAGTAGCATCGTTGTTCAGTGAATTGACTTTCCTTGTCAGAAGGTTGCAAAAGCTGATCACATGACCCCATGACACTGCAACCTTCATAAATATGAGCCAGTTGCCAAGTGTCCGAATTTTGATCATGTGACCGTGGGGATGCTATAATGGTCATAAGTATGAAAAAATGTCGTAAGTCACTTTTTTCAATGTTGTAACTTTGAACGGTCACTAAATGAACTGTTGTAAATCGAGGACTATCTGTACATCTGACTTTATGTTCATCTGCATCTTTTTGGATTAGAAATAGATGAATGTACAAATGAAGGTGAACAAGTGAACAAGCCAAAATCATATATTTGCTCTGGAAAGTTTACACTTCGAGAGGCAAAGTCTGGATTTCAATTGCACTAAACCAAAGTCTCTAGAAATAAATGTATAGTTTTTTTTAATGTAAACATTCAGCTAATGATACTTTTAAAGCTTACCTTTAATTGAATGTATTTCTGGAGATCAAAATGTTTTGTATACATCCTCAGATATTCGAGGAGTTGGTGGTGGGATAAAAAGGATGGAAAGTTTTCTGGATATGGAAAATCTGTGAAGGCAGACATCTCCTTAGAGGTGTTACTAACCATTGACTTGTACACGCTAGGTCTTCCATCTTCAACATAGTCCTATCCATAAAATATTACAAGATTATGTATTAAAAAGCCAGTTCAGTATAGTAGTTAAGGCACCAGGCTAGAAACCAGGAGACCATAATGCATGGGCAGGATTCCAAAAGGAATTTGGAATCTAGGTTTCTTAATTTAAAAAAGGGGTAAAATGCAATTTCCTTGAGTTTAGACAGATTCAGGTAACATTTTCAGGCAAACTTCCATTTTCAGATCAAGCACAATACTTGTTATGAAGAGGATATGTGAGATGATTAAAGAAGGCTAATTACAATTCTATTATCTGTCGGCAATATCTGATAAAATACAAACATTTAGACCCAAAAAACTGGAAGGTGGCAAATAGATCAAATACTGTACAATACTTGAAAGCTGGGTATATTCTTTCATGATTCACCCACTGTGAATAAAAAATGGAACTTATTTTGCATAATAAAGGGCATAACAATAAAAATTAATTAATTAATTGATGTTGATGTTACTGTTCACATGATGTAACTCCTAAAAAGTTTATGCCTGGAGAACATTGAGGTTAATGAGACACTAACATGTAGAAAATTATGGGATTTTGCCATTATTTTGCAGTACCATCCTTTTTCCTTATATGAAGTATGTATGTGCTTGTGTGTGTGTGTTGTACAATAAGAATAGAATAGAGCTGGAAGGGACCTTGGAGGTCTTCCAGTCCAGCCCCCTGCTTAAGCAGGAGAACCTATACCATCTCAGACAAGTGATTGTCTAACCTCTTCTTAAAAATCTCCAGTGATGGAGCACCCACGATTATTGGGGGTAAGCTGTTCCACTGGTTAATTGTCCTCACTGTCAGGAAGTTTCTCCTTAATTCCAGGTTGCTTCTCTCTTTGATCAGTTTCCAACCATTGTTTCTCATCCTTCCCTCTGGTGCTCTGGTGAACAACGTGACCCACTCTTTCTTGTGGCAGCTTCTCAGATACTGGAATACTGCTATCATGTCTCCCCTATTTCTTCTTTTCTTTAGACTAGCCAAACCTAAGTCCTGCAGCCGTTCTTCATATGTTTTATTCTCCAGGCCTTGGATCATCTTAGTTGCTCTTCTCTGAAGGTCTCAACATCTTTTTTGTAGTATGGTGACCAAAATTGGTTGCACTATTCCAGGTGTGGTCTTACTAGGGTTTTGTAAAGCAGTACTAATACTTCATGTGATCTTGATTCTATGCCTCTGTTTATACAACCCAGGATTGTATTAGGTTTTTTGGCTGCTGCTGCACATTGAAGACTTAAGAGAAGACTTAGGGGAGAGCTAATAGCAGTCTTCCAATGCTTGAAGGGAAGACGGGTCAATTTATTCTTTATATAGCATCTGAAGGCAGGACAAGAGCAATGGGTGGAAGCTTTTCAGAGGGAGATCCAACCACGAAATAAGGAGGCATTTCCTGACAGTGAGAATGATTAATCAATAGAACAACTTGCTTCCTAAAGTTGAGAGTGCTTCATTGCTGGAGGTTTTCAAGAAAAGATTGGACAACTATTTTGGCAGGGGGTTGAACTAGAAGACCTCCCAGGTCCCTTCCAGCCTTATGATTCATTGATTCTATCCTTTGTCACTCATGCAACTTTAAATCTGTCTTTCTCCTTCTCTTGTCCCAATATCTATTCCAAAATATTCCTTGTTGCTGGTGTCCTGCAGCTGTTCTTCGTATGTTTTAGTCTCCAGGCCTTTGATCATCTTAGTTGCTCTTCTCTGAATTTTTTCCAAACGCTTAACGTCTTTTTTGTGATATGGTGACTTTTATGTTTTGAGGTTCGAGGCATGGAAGCACGAGACATTGTTGTAACCAAACTTCTTTATTTGCTCCTTAACTTCACTCAACTCTGCAAACAGGCACGCAGGCCTTTTATAGTCTTCCACCCCCCAGGCAGACCAGCCAATAGGGAAAACCCTTTCTTCGCGCCTTGTGCATGCGCATAAGTCCGGCGCCAGCCAGTCTGGTCCCGGGCAGCTTTTAGGTTGCCCGGGACAGTTTGCAACATTACTGGGCCTGCTGAGTTGCCTCATCAGGCCCAGATCACAACACTGACCAAAAGTGCCTGCAATATTCCAGGTGTGGTCTTACTAGGGTTTTATAAAGCGGTACTAATGCTTCGTGTGATCTTGATTCTATGCCTCTGTTTATACAACCCAGGATTGTATTAGCTTTTTTGGTTGCTGCTGCACACTGCTGGCTCATAGTCAAGTGATCGTTCACTAGGACTCCAAGGTCCCTCTCACAGTTACTGTTTTTGAGCCAGGTCTCACCCAATCTGTACTTGTACCTTTGATTTTTCCTGCCTAAATGTAAAACTTTGCTTTTCTCCACATTGAAACTCATTTTGTTGGATAGGGCCCATTGTTCAAGATTGTCCAGATCTTTTTGGATCCTGAGTTTGTCTTCTGGGGTGTTGGCTACTCCTGTCAGTTTGGTGTCATCTGCAAATCTGATGAGTTCCCCTTCAATTCCCTCATCTAAGTCATTTATGAAGATATTGTGGAGTACTGGGCCTAAGACGGGGCTTGTGATACCCCTGTCAGGGCCCACTTCAAAACCTCATCCCAAGAAAGCAGAACTCATGGAAGCAGTGTCTTCCAAAAGGAACCTTTATTAGGAGAAGCTGATAGCAGGCATAATAGACAGGGTCTGAGGATTTTCCGCTCAAATCAATAGGTTAAAAGAGTCCCAAGCAAACCCCACCCCAATAGTTCATCCGGTCAATTCAAATGGGCCAATCCCCAGGTGTTAAGTCTGTTGTGGGAAAGAGCTGATAACAGCGATCTGTCTCTGGCTTGTAGCAATGTTTGTTGGGTCTTCGCACCATCCCTTCCAAAACAGGAGATAAACCAGATGGCCAGAGGTGCATTCCTTTCCCCCCCCCTTTCAAGCTGACATCAAGGGGAGACAGTTCAAAGAGCAAGTATTCAGAGACAGCAGAAGAATTACATTGTAGTGATAGAGAGAAACAAAGAGGCAGCCCTCGGCGTCTTCCCCCCCCCTTCCAGTAGTATGGCAGAACCCAGAATAATAGAAGAAATAGAAGTAGGAAGAGTCCCTTTAACAATATGGGTTCTGACAACCCTACTGCTTACTTCTCTCCATGTGGCTGTAGTGCCATTGAGGACTACTCATTGAGTACAGTTTGTCAGCTAACTACAGATCCATCTGGTGGTAATGTTGTCTATTCCACCTTTTTCTAGCTTGCCAAGGTTGTGGTCTACTTTGTCAAATGCCTTACTGAAATCTAAGTTTCAGCATTTCAGTGGTCTACTAATTTAAGATTGGTTTGGCAGGTCTGTTTTTAACAAACCCGTGCTGGCTACTGGTTATGACTTTGTTTGCTTCTAGTTGTTCACAGATCTGTTTTTTGATTATCTTTTACAGTTTGTTCTATTTTCTATCTGTATAACATATGATCTGATTTAAAGAAAGAATTGGGGAAAATAGTTATTAAGTACAATTATTAAATATTTTGTGAATATTTTGAAATTATTGGTAGGGTAAATATATTGAATACTTTTCATCAGGACCTGCTAAGGGAAAAATAGTTTTATTTATCAGTTAATTTGCTGTTTAAATAATAAAACCTGTAATAAAAGCCACCCTCACATAGTCCAAACATTCAGTTGTCTCTTTTCATAGTTAAGCAACATAACACATGGGCATGGTAGAGATGGGTCTACACTCTACTGTCATTAACTTACTGTGAATCGCCACAATCCCCCTATGTCATCACTTTGTTCAAAACAGGTTGGCTCCAGTCCCTCTTCCAGGCAGCACTTAATGGAGGTCAGTCCGCTCACACCGGCTCCAACAATGGCTACTTTTTTCACCATGGCTTCTTGAAGCAAGAAGAGCAGAAACATATGGGGTTACTATTTTAAAAAATGAAAGTAGCTTCCTGTTTCAACTTGTCATGACAGCTGGCTGGACCTTTCTTAAAAATTGTGTTTAAATTACACTTTCAGGTCTGAATTCTGATTTCCTCTGGGTAGAATACAGAATAACACAGTTGGAAAGGACCTTGGAGGTTTTCTAGTCCACCCCCTACTCAAGCAGGAGACCTCATACTATTTCAGACAAATGGTTGCCCAGTCTCTTGTTAAAAACCTCCAATGATGGAGCCTACAACTTCTGAAGGCAAGCCATTCTATTGATTAATTGTCCTCACTGACCGGTAACTTCTCCTTAATTCTAGGTTGGATCTATCTTTTTTAAGCTTCCATCTGTTACTTCTTTTCCTGTCCTCAGGTGCTTTTGAGAACAGGTTGATCCCCTCTTCTTTGTGACAGCTCCTCAAATATAGGAACACAGTTATCATGTCATCCATAGTTCTTAATTAAACTACTAGACAATACCAGTTTCTGCAACTGTTCATCGTATGGTTTAGCTTGCACTCCCCTAATAACCTTTCTTGCTCTTCTCTGTGCTCTTTCTAGAGTCTCAACATATTTTCTGCATTATGGTATTCCAAATGTGACCTGACTAATGCAGTATAAAAGAGTGCTAATGCTTGACATGATCTTGATACTATCCCTCTTTTATGCAGTCTAGGACTGTATTGGCCTTTTTGGCAACTGCAGGATACTGCTGTTAATTGTTGTCTATTAGAATTCCCAGACCCTTCTCACAGTTACTGCTATTGAACCAAGCACCGCCTATTCTATATCTATGCATTTGGTTTTTCTTGCATGTGAAAAACCTTATTTTTCTCACCACTGAACTGCATTTTGTTGGATAGGGCCCAATGTTCAAGTCTGTCAAGATCCTTTTGGATGTTGAGCCTATCTTCTAGAGTGTTGGCTATTCCCCCCAGCTTGGGGGGATTAAAAAGGGTGCATAATTGAAAAGAGGTTTGCAGGAAGTTCCATTTCATTAATGGATTGTTGGTACAATTCACATGGCCTGTTAATAGCTTATCATTTACTAGAATTCTTGCAAAAAAATGTGGAACAGGATAAATGCTTTCATTATGCCTGATCCATGCCCAAGCTTGGTATATGATCTTCTGAGACAAACTGTGGCAAATAACCCATACGATATGGTAGTATATGTATTCTCATTGTTTACTCTTATTTCTAAAGACACAGACATTCAGATATGATGAATTGTATTGATTATTCATATTTTGATTATCTTTAGTATAACTTAAATGCAGTATAGTCATTTTTGAATATAAATGGAAGATAATTAGAAAAATTTATAGGAGGCAGAAGAACAGGTAAAAGTAGGTCATGAAGGTATAAATCAAGGAATTGTGCAGAGAAATAGAATTAACTGACCAGGAGACTCTAGTCTGAAAGAAAGAAATAACTAGATATAAGCAGTAATTGTATGATTCTCAGGGACAGTCAATCTAATCAACATTAGCAAACACTTTTGAGGTAACAGGTGCTGGCCTGGGGAAGGACACCATATTACTAAGCAAAGCCTCCTTTGTTGCATGATTGTGTGTATTAGAAGGAAAATTGCTCTTAAATGCATCTTTTTAATACAGCCAGGTGATGTTCTCAGCTTGGGCTGTTTAATCTCTCTGCATATCTATCTTGCAGAGCAGGACTATCATTCAGATTTGTATAGGATACAGATATGGTCAGATAAACAGAATAGTGTCTTAGCTTTATGCATAAGAATTCTGTGCACAACAGTGCATATTATTGGAGACATGTCAGTAGTCAAATATATTTTGGCAGATTTCATATTGAGTCCCAAGTTTCTTGGAAATGAAAGTGAGAAGCGATTTACTTATTACACTCACAAAAGATCAAAATATTCTATTTGGGTTAGTTTACAGTGTTTCAGGATATGATAAATTAATATATAGCAAATTATTATACATGCCTAACAGGGTGAAGACTGAACAGTCATATCTGTACCAATAGGAAAGTTGATATTAGTCAGGTTAAGGTATTGAAGCGCTTGTGAGTTAGAAAAATAACACAGAAGATGAGATATATAGAAGAAGAAAAAAGGAGGAACCTTGTCGTAGTTTGTCCCAAGAATAAACTTTATGTTATGTTTAATAACCTTTCAAAAGAAAGTCACTTGAGGTACTATAAGTAGTCATCAATACGAGGGCAATTTGGAAATAAACCTCTGTTTGGTTATCAATGACAGATACTCGCAAATACAGAACTTGCATTATACACCTTAGAAAACTACAACATTACATTACTTTTCAACATAATCACCATTCAAATTGAGGCCATTGTCATAATGTCTTACAAGGTTTGAAATTCCTTCTGCAAAAATATCTGCCACCTGGGAATGAAGCCACCCTGTAACAGCATTGTGAAGTGTGTTGTCATCGTCAAACCGGTGCAACACAAGCCATTGTTTCTTTTAAAAAACTGGTTCATTTTCAATTGATCTAGCAGACGAGTCAACTGCAACACAACCTTCTCCTTCCACTCCTCACTGCCTACTGAACTACTGTGCACGGCGCCATAGGACGGGCATTGCTATGGCGCACATGCTCAAACAGAGGTTTATTTCTGAATTCCCCTCATATAAGTATCCAAAACTTGTAAAGGCATAGATATTATCCTCCTAAACCCAGGGTGTTGTAATTCATGCCTTTAAAGCTTGACAGAGTAATACTGAGGGCTCCAGAATCTCTCTGTGCTTTCATATAAACCAGGCTTGATTAGTGTGGAAATATTTATAACTTAACATTCTAAAATATCTTAATTAGCCATTAAGTATTTATCGAAGACTAAAGCTCCGTTTTTTATATAGGATGTAAAGGAGGGAAATGTTCCACCAATGTTCAGTGTTAATAGTTTTCTACCATTAAAGCACAGGGGCCAAATATAAAAGATTCTATGTCCTGCCCCGCCACGAGGAATGATATGGATAGGAAAAAGGGCATACATAGTCAGAGGGAAAGATAACTGTGGTCAGTTCCTTTCCTATTAATAAATGCATAGTTGAGAGTATTCAAGTGTAGTCTTTCTGTCTTCCAGATGACAAGTGTGGCCAACATTCCTTTTCACAACTCTATAAGGCATAGGAGATTCCTCCCCTATCAATTACCATATCACTGATGACATCTTATTGGCAACTGATGCACTCCATCACATGATATGGTAGTATGGTGAAAGAAAGCATTCAGCTGAAAAGACTGTAGTGTCTGAGTTGGCTGGCAGTCCTTCTGTTTGCTTTCCTACTTCTTTTTGCTGAAACACTTAAATTCTTATCTTGAAAATATTGCATAACTTTTTGAAAATGGATTGTTCCCAGCCATTTGGAAATCCCTCATTACAAAATTAATTGAGTTTCAGGATCTTGAGGTTTTCCTGCACTGTTGACTTAAATCTGTACATTTAAAATATCACCTGGATCAGCTATAGTCCTCATGAAATCAAAATCCTCTCACAGTTAATTTTTAACTGATAATGAGTTGGCATTTCAACTTTCAGTTAGAGTACAATCAGCTTGTCAATCAGAAATAGTAGCTAGGAAGCTGTACTAATTGTTAGAAAGGTATGGCTGTTTTTCTGTATTGAAATTAAATGGAATTCTGCTAATAACAAAATTACACAGATATATTTATTCTTAATACAATTTGAGACAGAATAACATTTGTTTTCCATTCCTTAAAGAGATTTTGTTTTCTAAATGTTAAGTGCAATACACACTGCCTTGGTTTAGAGCAGGGACAACTTTAATATGTATGGACTTACTCCCAGAATTCTAGGAGTTGAATGGGTGGGATAGCTGCTCATACATCTTAAAGCCAAGTTTGAAAAAAAAATAGTTTAGAGAAACAGTTGATAGTACACATATTTCCCAGTAAGAGAATTGGGCAGAGCTGCCGTTGTGATGAAACAACATATAGAGATGGGACAGGGTTGATTATAAGAAAATTATAAGAAAAACAGCCATACCTTTCTAACAATTACTACAGCTTCCTAGCTACAGGAAAAGAGAGCAATATTGTAATAATACTAATATTTAGATGTAAAGTGTAGGAATTTTTATACATGGGAAAAGAAGCAATTAGCAGAATATTGTCATACATATATTGACATATATGAAATTATAAGAGAAAATCATAATAATTATACACAATATTAGCAGAACCCAAAGACTGAGGTGATGAATATAATTAAATCAAAGATGAAAATTAAGCATGAACAGAAGAATTAATACATTTAAAAATAGAACAATACCTTTATTATGACAATTTCAGATGTCTAAAAAGTATGCAGGCTTTCAAGTTCTCCAGAACTTTTCTTCATGCAAGACTACAAACATAGTAATCAGTTAGTAGATAACATGAAGAAAAAAATGATGATAAACATAATTCTGCAGTTACATTTTTTGTATGGTATGGTATACCATTTTCATGGTATTTTGGTTAAAAATTTAAGGATTGGCATATCCACAGATGGGCTCATCCACAAATATATGCAATAGTCTTAAAATAAACCTTTTTTTTTAACAGAAGGAACAATATGCCAGTAGGTATGAAGTACAATGTCTATTTCTTAGCTAAGTCATAGGAAACTTTTTTGTGCTGGACATCCATTTAAAAAATTTGAAAATATGAGGTAAATGGGTGGGAAAACTGCTCATAAAATGGCTGGCACATGTGGCTGGCACAATACACAAAGAAGGTTCTACTTTTTCTAATACCCTGAAATACCTCTAATATGATCATCTTGCCTTTGCCTGTTCTCTGGGCAGTGGGTGCCTCCAAGCAAGGTACTTATTGGAATACCCTTCCCTCTGTTTTTATTATGACTAATGTCCATGCAAGGTACAGAAATAAGGATGCTGTCAGAGATTTTATTGTATGTTGATGCCAAATTATTTTCTTAATTAAAATATTTGTTAAGCTAGAAAAGAAATATGAGAAAGTAGTGGACTTCCAGTTTGCCGACGTGGCTGCCACAGACGTTTAGAAGGCAAGCTCCGTCTTCCACGTCTGATTTCGCACTGCTGGGGGACCCTGGAAAGGGTTGAAAGTCGCCCTGTAAAGGCGACCAACAAGGAGGGGATCCCCGCTTGATCACAGGTGGACAGTAGCCCTTCCGCTCGATCTGGGACAGCCCTCCAAACCAGCAGATGAAAGACCGGCCATAGAAATATGGCTCATCACTAGGCTGCAGACAGCCAAAGTCAAATCTACCACCAGACACTCATAAAGCAGCGCAGATGAGACTGGGTGAGATCTACCTTTCTTTAATCCTAACTACTTTTTTCTACCTGCATAAGCTGCCTAAAGTACTTTTCCCCCTGTGGAGAGGGAAGGGAGATTCTATCCCACCCTCTAAAAACAGCGGCGACTGATTATCCAGGGGAGTTTAAAATGTTGCAAGAATAACTTGATTCTAACTGGATTTTTATCTTTTCAAAATTTGTGGACTAAAAGACTTTTTATTCTTATAGAAGATTTGGGTTTTCACTTACAAAAAAGAAGTAAAATTGGAAAAAGGATTATAAAAATTTTGGACTTAAAAGAAAACTCTAAATGGTATGGGTGACATCTTGTGGCTAAACCTGATATTACAACTTGTTATTGCTTAAAAGAGACTTGTCTTGCAGCCCAAACTATAGATAAGACTTTGTAATATTGACAGATATCAGCTGTGAGAAACCCAGCTGTGTTCTATACTCAGTGACAAAAAAAATTTCATTCTCTGATTGTAAAACTTTTAACTTAACATATTAATAAGAGAACATGGATGAAGATCAGGAACATATTCTCTTTATGTTGAAAGCAATTTATGAAACTATTCTTACAGCTACTGATGAAATAAGAAGTTACAGAAAAGAACAAGATGTCAGCCTAGATATACGAACCCAAACTTTGAGTACAACTACAAAATCAACTACATAATAGAAGAAGTGGAACAATTAAATACAATGATAGAAGATTCAACTGATCAACAAACACAGTTAATGGAAAACCCAGAAAAGGGACTGACAACATGGAAAAGGGAAAAGACTTTCTATATAAACTAGAAGAAACCTGAGGATCAAGAAGAAGAACAGACAGAAGGGAAGATAAACACTTCAGGACAACCATGTTGAGATGGAAAAATAGAGAGACGATTTGTTAGTCCTTTCAAAAAAATGGTAACTGGATGGCTTTTTCTACTTCAAACAATATACATAACAACACAGGGAGACTTATTTGATGACTTAAAAGCATGGTCATGGAAGGCGAGTTGGCAAAGAAAGAAAGCTAGAATAAGACTGAAGAAAATTGGGGTTTTGACTTATCAGTGAGAGTTAAAATAGAACATACTCAAATAGATAAGATGTGTATTTTGAATACTAGATTTTGTTATGAGCTGAGATAAAACCTGGAAGTATAAATATTAATAGTTAAATTTGAATATTGATTTGCTTATAAAGGTTGAATGTAAAAGTAATTAAGATATATATAAGCTAAAAATCCATTGATGAATGTAATAAATATGTTTTACTTAGCTGTTATAATAAAACCTATTAGCTTAAATATGAGATAGTAGACATTAAGAGAAAAAGAGAGGAAGTATTAAATGTTGAATTAAGAGAAATTTTGGTTATTAAATTTAAGACATTTGGAAAGTAACAGAAAATAAGAATGTTATACTGTATTATTAATTAGCTGATGTAAAATGGTGAGAAATTGAACATATTCAAATAGATAAGATGTGTATCCTGAACATTTGATTTTGCAATGAATTCTGATAAAGGGAATTGTGGTTATTTAAACTTGGAAATTATAAATGTTAAATTTAAATATTAATGGAAAACTAAAAATTGGGAAAAACTAATTAGGACATTGATTGTCTATAAAGATTGAATGTTAAAATAACTAGGATATGTATAAACTAAAAATTATTGATAAATGTAAAAAAGTTATTTTTATTCAATCGATATAATAAGAATTGTATTAGTTTAAATATGAGACAGTAAATACTAAAGGGAAAAGAGAGGAAATATTTAATGTAGTAGTTTGAGACTCGTATTAAAGATACTTGTATATTATTGAATTATCGATTAACTCAGCTGCCACATTGCTTTTTAAATATTTAAATGTAAAATTAGAAAATCAATAAAATTTTCTTTAAAAAAAAAGAAATATGGGAAAGTAATACTGTATGTGGCAAGATTATTGTGCACACAAAATTCGGGAAATCATAAATTGCCCAGACTAGAAGATTGGATTATAAAATGGATGGAGCTTGCAGAAAGGCAAAGCAGACCGATTTGATCAGGGAAAATATAATAGAGATTTTAAAGGATTGGAAATCTCACAGAAGTTTTGCTGAAAGAAGAAAAGATGTTTATTGTATTGAAAAATTCTCATAAAAATTTTGTAAACCACTTTAAAATATCAATTATCTATCTATCTATCCATCCATTAATTAGATTATAAGACCTTCAAGGGAAAGAGCCATGACTCTTAACTGGTTGCTTATATCCCCAACTATAAGCAAGCTAAGAATTAAGCCCTGGATTCAAAACTTGCCCTTAAAAGAATATGTAGTTTAAAGTGCCAGACTTCTCCTAGGATGTGAAAAGTGAATGATTTGTAAAGAAGTAGAGAACCAGCTCACATACATACATCTGGAGTTTCCACAGAATTTCTTTTGGTGACCTCATTGGCTACCTCCTCTGGATATAAATTTAAGTTACTGGGCCTATTGCAGCCTAATATATTCAGCCAAACCCTTTATTAATTTCATGTACAGAAATTTGTGGACAGCCAACATGGTGAGGTAGTTTAAGCAGCTGTAAAAGGAGTGGGCAAACCCTGGTTTTAGTCCCCATTTAGGCATGACAACCAGCTAGGTTACTTTGGTTATGCCTTGCCCTCTTAGCCCTAATTAGTTTCAGGCTCTGTGACCTCCTGGCTGGAAAATCATCATAAGTTTCATTGTAAGAACTAGGTGAGTACAGTATGAAAACAAGGAAACCCTGCAACTAAGCAGAACAAATGCTATGAATATGAGCTGAAATTGATTGTCAATACATATAGTATTTCTACAAAGTATACAATATATCATCATAAACACATACAAAAGTACTTTCTGTATTCAAAACTGCTGTAAAGGCAAATTATAGATATTCTGGTCAATTGGCAAAATTAATCCTCCCCATATTATATAATTCTGAAAAACAATAGAAAGGATTTTAGTGGTAAATCAATCCCTAGCTACATTCAGCAGCAAAGTTTTATTTATTCCCATTATGCATATATTTTTATTTTGGAATGTCTCTAGCAGAAGACTGACAGATTGTCACAATCTTACCTCATTTCATAAGCCCCCATTCAAATCTTCTTCGATTTCACAGGGTTGCATAAGTTGCTTTGAAGGAATTACTTTGAAATGCAGACGGCACAGTACTGCAATGAATATGTGTAAAGTATGTTGCAAGACTGTGTGGAAGGGTGGAACTGCTTTTTCTGAGAGGACAAAACAAACATTCTTTTGATTAATATTGCATTACACAAGAGAACTTTGTAAACTGACATGATCAGCATGTGGAAAGAAGCTGTTTAATCAGATTTAAAATGATGAGAGGAGTCTGACATTTGAGCCAAGAAAAAAAAAGATAACCCTGGGCATCTCTTGAGAGATACAGTTCCCCCCCACACGTATTAAACACCTATTTAGCTAGAGTTTAACACCAGAAGGTTTCATTGCAGACAGTAGCAAAAACATTCCACGCTTAAATATTATGGTTAAGGACTTGTCTGGAATGCTAGGTTGTCCCATCAACAGAATAGGCAAACAACTGTTTCTGAAGGCATAAATGGATGATATCACCTTCTTTCAATCCTCTGCTCATCTTCAAAACGACCTCAGGGTTCATTTTTTTCTTCTACTTTTTCTATTATATTGCCTCAAGCATTCCTGTCTGTTTGGGATAGCATGATTTAGTTTATTGCAGGCTAATTCTAATATTTGATTGATTTCACATTATACTAGTTCTACAGTATTCCCTAGTCTACTAAGTTAAGAAGTCTATCGGAGAAAGAGATAAATTCGGCCGGCATGAATTGTTTGTGACAATCTCATGGCGTCTCCTCATAATTGTAATATGCCCATCCTACTCACAAAATCCTAATTCCAGAAGACAGGCTTAAGATACAGAAGGATCTTGACAAACTTGAATATTGGGCGCTATCTAACAAAATGAAATTCAATGGTGAAAAAAGTAAGGTTTTACATTTAGGCAAGAAAAACCAAATGCACAGGTATAGTATAGGTGGTACTGTTGTGTCCTGAGCCTGCAAAAGCAGGCTCGGGACGTTGCATTGGTCCCGGGCATTCCAAAAGCTGCCCAGGACCAGACAGAGCGGCGCTGGCCTTGTGCGCATGCGCAAGGCGCGAAACGCTCTGTTCCTATTGGTTGACACTGTACGGGCTTCTGGCCATATAAAAAGGCCTGCGTGCCTTTTGCTTTTGCTTGGTTGTTGTGGAAGAGAATAAAGCGTTTGTTTAACATCGCCATGTGTCTTCATTACTCACTCGCAAACGAAGTACACAACACTGGCGATGAGGATGGGATGCCTTTGCAAGCTAAAAAAAAATTTAAGACTTACCCAGGAAGTCTGAAGAGGGGAAGACAGCATTTGAACCAGCGTCCCAGCCTGCCAGTACAGTGTCGCTGGAGGTTGAGCTCGGCTAAAGAACCCTTTTCCCAAACTACAGCCTGCAGAGGAAGTGAGTGGTGAAGGTCGTAAAGTTTATGATGTCGAAGATTGGCCGTTTGATTGATTTCGATGTCTCCCACCCAGAGAGATGGAATTCCTACATAGCACGGGTGGAGAACTACTTCAGAGTAAATCAGATTAGAGAAAACGGCCTGAAGGCAGCAACTCTTTTGTGTGCCTCTGGACAAGAAGCTTTTGACATCGCAGAAACTTTGGTGGCCCCTTCACCTCTGGAGTCAGTAACATATGCTGACTTGAAGAAAATGTTGAGGGAGCATTTCCAGCCGAAATTATCCGTCATTGCTTGGAGGCACGCGTTCGAGCAGAGAGACCAGAGGCCAGGTGAATCTGCTGCGGACTTTATTGCGGCCTTAAGGCAAGCAGCCAGACCGTGTGAGTTCAAGGATCTGGAAGAGAGGCTGCGAGATAGATTCGTCTGTGGCTTAAGGAGCAGAGACAGCAAAAGATTTTTGCAAGAGAAGATGTCTCCTTCCAAGATGCGTTGTGAGAGGTGGCAGCTGAAGAAGCAGCAGGCGTGGCTGTGAAGGCCCTGCGCCTCGCCAGGAATCCTCCTGACACAGCTACCGTCCATCAAGAGGACGCTCGAGAAGGATCAGAGGAAGATCCTGAAGAGGAGGTCGACAGACTCCATCAGCCAGCGGAGAGAAGGCAGAAGGGACGTCCGGTCAAGACCCCAGCATCGCTTCAATGCTTCGGGTGCAGAGGACGCCACAAGCGAGCTGACTGCAGGTTTCGCTCTGCCATTTGCAGGGCATGTGGCAGGCAAGGCACATTCAGAAAGGTAACATTAAGTCACACTTTATACTGCACCAGGCATGTCAAACACAAGGCCTGGGGCCTGGATGAGGCCTGCGAAGTGGTTTCATGTGGCCCGCAAAGCCCTCCAGGAAACAGTGAGGGAAACGGCCCTCGCTGCCTTGGCCCTGGCCCAGGCTGGTCGGGAGCCAATGTACAATTTTGTGGTGGCCATCTATGCTGAAACGCAGTCAGTCTTAGCTCCACAAGCTGTCTGGAAACAGCGAGGAACCAGCCCCTGCCGCGTCGGCCCCACCCCCTGGAGTTTGGAGATGTGTTTAGTTCAGAGCTAGGATCCTACAAGGGGCCTCCCATTTCGCTACGGTTAGACCCAACCATCACGCCCATCAGGGTTAAGCCAAGGAGGGTACCTTTTGCCCTCAAGGGTAAGATTGATGCTGAGCTGGACAAATTGCTCCAGCAGGGCATTCTAGAACCTGTGGATTCTAGTCCATGGGAAACCCCCATAGTAACACCTCTAAAGGCTAATGGGGAAATACGTATTTGTGCAGACTATAAGTGCACACTGAATAAGGCGCTGCAACAGCACGCTTATCCAGTGCCTGTGGTAAGTAACATTCTGGCCTCCCTCAAGGGGGGGGTGCATTTTTGCGAAGCTTGACCTGGCACAGGCCTATCAACAGCTACCTGTTGATGAGGCAGTTGCAGAAGTCCAGACTATTGTAACTCACAGGGGGGCATTCAAGGTCAAGAGACTGCAATTTGGGGTAAATGTAGCCCCTGGCATATTCCAAAGTTTCATGGAGAGCACACTTCGAGGTATTCCTGGGGTCTGTCCCTACTTTGATGACGTCCTCATTGCTGGGGAGTCATTTCAAAATTTAGCAGAAAGGTTAAGGGCTGTCTTGCTTCGTTTTCGAAAAGCAGGCCTTAAGCTAAAGCAGGATAAATGCAAGATACGAGTCACTTCCACTGACTTCTTAGGGTTCAGGATTGATGCCCAAGGCATTCATCCTGCTGAAGCTAAACTACAAGCTATTCAACAGGCCCCAAGCCCCAAGTCCAAGAGTGAGCTGCAAGCCTTCTTGGGACTATTAAATTTTTACCATGCATTTCTCCCACATAAAACTGCAGTGGCAGAGCCGTTACACAGGCTCTTAGACAAGCAGGCTCTGTGGCAGTGGACTAAAGTCCATGAAAAGAGTTTCAATGAGGTTAAGGCCTTGCTCACTTCTAATGATGTGTTAGCGCATTTCAATGAGCAACTGCCTGTTTGCATCACATGTGATGCATCTCCTTATGGGGTGGGGGCTGTACTTAGCCATCTGAAGGCTGATGGGACACAGGTCCCTGTAGCCTATTACTCAAGGACTCTGTCTTCTGCAGAGCGAAATTACACTCAAATTGACAGGGAAGCCATGGCCATAGTGGCTGGCATAAAGAAATTTCATGATTTCTTATATGGCCGCCATTTTACGGTCTATACTGACCATAAGCCTTTGCTAGGGTTGTTTACCACCAACAAACAGACCCCACATATCATTTCTCCTCGTATGCTGAGATGGTCCATTTTCCTGTCAGCATATGACTACACATTAGTTCACAAACCTGGAAAAGAAATGGGTCATGCAGATGGCCTGAGCAGATTACCCCTGAATCAATTAGAGCCAGATCCTGCTCCAGCCATTAATATTCTTTCCATTCAGGAGTTGCCTGAGTCTCCCCTCAATGCAAGAGATGTGGCTGCAGAAACTGCCACTGATCACACACTTACATGCGTATTGACATGGGTGTTGTCAGGATGGCCTGACAAGTGCCCAGATACTGAGTTCCAAAGCTTCTGGCACAAGAAGCATGAGTTTTCCACTTTCAAGGGTTGCCTGTTATGGGGTAGCAGGGTAGTGATCCCAGCCTCATTGAGGTCTAGAATCTTGATCTCTCTGCATGAGGGACATCCTGGTATAGTAAGGATGAAAGCGCTTGCGCGCAGCCATCTTTGGTGGCCTGGGCTAGATAAAGCCATCGAGGCCCAGGTGCACGGGTGCCAAGTGTGCCAACAGTCACAGCCTGAAATGCCTCAGGTCCCAGTACATAGGTGGGAGGAAACTCAAACCCCATGGTCTAGGGTGCATATTGATTATGCTGGGCCCTTTCAGGGGCAATTCTTCCTGGTTGTTGTTGATAGCCATTCCAAGTGGCTAGAGGTTGTTCCTGTTTCCTCCACTACTACTGCCAGGACCATCCAGGTGTTGAGAGGAATTTTTGCATCACACGGTCTTCCAGATGTTCTGGTTTCTGATAATGGCCCTCAATTTACATCTTCTGAGTTCCAGGCTTTTCTTCAAGCCAATCTGATCCGGCATGCCACATCACCTCCCTTCCATCCATCCTCCAATGGACTGGCAGAGAGAATGGTGCGCACCACCAAAGATGCTCTCAAGAAACTGACTTATGGTAACTGGCATCACAGGTTAGCAGATTTCCTTCTTGCACACTGCACCACACCATGCACAGCCACAGGGAAGAGCCCTGCTGAACTCCGCTGGGGTCGCCGCCTCATTACTAAACTGGACAGGCTGCACCCTGACCGGGTGGCTTCACAGGTGTCACAACCACGGGCAACTAGGAGATTCCATGTGGGCGATCCGGTTTGGGCAAGAAACTATGGGCCTGGACATCTCTGGGTCACAGCTGTGGTCTGCAAGGTCTCTGGACTGTTGTCATACGAAGTTGCCTTGGGGGACGGCCGCGTTCTTCACAGGCACATAGACCAACTGCGTTGGAGACTGAACTCTCACCCTTCCGCTCCTGGCTCTGCTCTGGGGGGGGGAGGAGGACCATAACATGCATTCTGGGTCACAGTTTTCCAGGCTTAACAGGCCTCACTAGCTGCTACAGAGGCTGTTTGGGATTCATCCCAAGGTTCCGCAAGTGCTC